ACCGGACAATTCTTCAGATGATTTACCCGAAGCTGAGGTAAGTATACCTATTGATTAAGATTCGGAATTACCAGAAGCTTCGGTAAATGCATCTATTGGAACTGAGGTAAGTGAAGTAAGTGATACAAAAGCCCATGATAATAAACCACAATCTTTAATTACTGCTTTATCCGACGATAAGCCAGAAAATTTCTCCAATGACGATGAATTTACCAATGATAACGAAGATGGGAGTTTTTGTGGTTTTTCTGATGACAACGATGAAGGTTATTATTATGATTTAAATACTGAAGAAACTTATACAAAATCGAACTGTTCAATCTATGCTTATTAGATACAGAATTCCTTGCTTTGCAGACAATAGACGTTTATTGCATGTTGCATCGATGTTTTTGATTCAAATTCTGACACATAAAATTTATTTCGGGCTATTATTGCGGAGCGATGAGGTTTCACCTCTACAAGCATATGATTTAATTTCCCAGCTATATGGATGTATGATATTCACCACTTAAGATTGTCCGATCCGAGATAGACAAATCTGAGATAAACAAATTCAAGATATACAAATCTGAGATGTTCAAATCCGAGATGTGCAACTTTCTACAGATTAATTATGTGTCTATTGTGGAACAATGTGCTTCGTTCTGAACTAGCTCCGCTATACTCATAATTGAGATGCAGTATAGATACGATGAAGATGTGACATAGATACGACAGATTTTTTTCTTATATAATTCTATGAAAAATAACACATCGTAAGAATATCTCAGTTGAGTGCCCCACACGAATTTTTTGAGATGTGGACCGACTACATTCATGGTCGGTTAGTAGATATGTTAACCAGAAATTTTTTCTGACTGCTATCCATCCTGGAAGCATAATTATACTCTGGCTTTGAGTGATGCAATCATGAAAAGGCAGATCGATGAGAGAAAAACCAAAAATACCGAGTATCTTAGAATAGACGTTATCATTATTTGTTGTGCTGTGTAGAGGGGATGGAAACAAATATGCATTATTTTTTCTTGCTTCGCATCTATTTCGTGGGTAAACAAGTATCTTTGAGGCGAGTCACAAACCACATTCATACAATGTACAACCTAATCATAACTCGGCAATAATTTTTCCGAATTAAAATAGCTATTAATCAGATTACGCAAAACATTCTATAGATGATTCCAAATGAGTTGATTCTTTATAAGTTTTCTTTCCGCTATTTAATCATAGTAATATCCTGAATCATCATCATCAGAATACATTACACTCATATCATTTGCTTCATTATTGGAGAAATCATCACCAGTACTATTTTCACCATTTTCTTCTTTAGCATTTATATGTCGATAAATACCAAATACCTCACTTTCTGATAGATCCTCTAAAGAATTAAAGATATATGTGTCAGATATAGGGCTGTGGACTTATGTTCTGGAATGGACGGATCACTTACCTCAACCTTCGAAGTAACATTATCCTCTGATGAAATCGTTTCCGAAGTCACATGACTATGATCGTTTCCCAAGGAAATGGTTTTTGAGGTTAATTGATTTATAATGTTTTGAATTTGTGCATTGGTCAATTTTGAAATATCATTTGCACTGCAAGTAACATACTTGATTTTATCCATTTTCTCCAAATAACTTATGAATTTTTTTGGCCCTAAGAGTCTTAATTCGCAAGGCAACTAATGTAATGCCAGGTAGATATTCTAACATTTCCTTGTATATTTGAGTTTTTGCAGTTTTATCGGTGACTCCTGTCTTATGACAAATTTCAATAACTTTGTTTTCAAGAATTTTATAGATGAATGTTGTTTATTATCTTCGATAGGTGAAGCAACAATACTACCACACTGTAAATCTTGTATTAAATCTAGTTCTATATTCTGATTTTTAGTAAGCTCAAATTCGTTAGAATCGTCAAGATCTTCTGTTGGCAAAGAAGTACTTGGAATAGTTTTTTGTTGATCGTTTACTTGGGAGACAATTTTTATGCTACTTTCGATTTTGTCATGATCGTTTCCCAAGGAAACGGTTTTTATGTCGCTTGATAAGTCTTGGGTTTGGTTTTTAGCTGATTTACGTTGAAGCTTCTTCTCCCTATTTCTCTGTTTTACCTCATTACTAATATTTTCCCTATTTTTCGAATCCAGAAATTCTTCGACCTCTTTATCTTCCAACGGTTTGCAGATAGGTTGATGTGCGTTGGAATTTGATGCATTATCAGATATATCAGCTATCTGTTCGGGAGTATTGTCAGAATTTACTTCAGAGGAAACAGGTACTTGTAAACTTACTGGAGACTGCAAAACATTAGTAACAGTTTGATGGTACGGAGCGTTCTTATCTTGCAAGCTCTCTTCCTTGATTAGTAGACGTCGTACTCCAGTTTAGCTATAAGATCAGTTTTTTCTTTATCGTTTTGCTCTAATTTCGCGAATCTAGCCTCATGTTCTTCCATAGCTTGCTTTAGCTTCGTATTCTCAGCCAAGAGTACAGCATTTTTATATATGAGCAAAGAATTCACCTTTCTAAGCTCAGAAATCTCAGCTAATAGCTTTGAATTCAGTTCTCTCAACGGATCAATTTTAGATTGAGGATTTGCCATTGTTTAATATAAGACAGGATTTGTTTAAATTTTAACGAACAAGTATTCGTCTAAATCACATGATTAAATTTCATCGAACAAATGTTCATTGAAATCGCAACCAAAAATTCTGGTACCATGCCTGCAAAATATGTTGGAAATGTCTTGGGTCGTGGCGCTAAAGGCAAGCAACCATTGGAAATTACGATGACGAGCATACACATAATACCCTAGATATCGATCACGAGCCTGAGTAAGTGCATTTATACGAAAAATAATTAAATGCTAACACGTCAAGTGTTATATTTCAGTCGCGTTACACAATCTAGAACTTTTTATCTAGATTTGACGTGATATGCACACTGCAACGTTATACAGTACCACTTTCTTAAACGATGGGAAAAAAGAAAACAAATAAACCACCAACTGTGGCACCTACTACAGGTAAAAGCAAGCGTATTGTGAGTATCATGTGGAAAAATTACTTATTATCATTGGTGAAAAAAATAGGTGGCAAAGACGTCCCAGATGCTGATGCGTCTAAGAAAGGAAAAAACGTTCTACCACCAGATATTGGTACATCTGAGAAAGGGCAAACGTCCGAGGAAACTCCCTTGCTAAGGGAACAGTCCACTGGTAATTATTATATTGCAAGTATTGTTTATAGAGGAACTTCTAATTATCTTTGGCAAAAACAACAGTCTCCGTGGAGGGCGTTGAAACTACTAAAGTTGCTATGCCAAGTGCAGAAGAAACTAAGAAGTGGAGTCCGCAACAAGTTCTTGAATTTCTTGAAAAAAAGAAAGATGAGCTATTTCTAAATAACGACGACATTAAGATAATCAAGGACACAGAGTTTCCGGTCAAACCTTCCTTCGTTTAACTGAAGAAAAACTTATGGAAGATGGCTTAAAAAGAGGACCGGCAGGAGCAATCGCAGGGTTGATTGAGACGCTTAAGGGCGAGGAGCAAGGTAATTAGTGAGCGAATAATGCAATCATCTGTGCCATCAAAAACTAGTAAAAAGAGACGATTGATAGTTCAAAAATGGTATCACGGCGGGATACTTGTTTAAAGGAACGTTTAGTATAATGTTTTGTGACGTTAACCAACTTTGGGTTTTCTTTTATTTTCAAAGTGAAGTTAAAACGTAAACATGAAGAATCACCAGAAGATTTAAGCGAGATCGTAAAAAGTGCAGTGCGAGAGGAATTCTCCCGGCAAAAGCCTGCTAATCAGATCCCAGTATCCAATCTTACTGAAACGAAAATGAATGAAATCATGAATAACCTTGGATTAAAGGCCGCCTAAGTAAGCAAACTCTTTTAATGATTTCTTTATCACTTATCATTAATCGCTTATCGATTATTTAGTTAATAGATGAAGACTTCCAACCACTTGGTCCCGTGTCATGCCAACCTTTTACATGGGATGTGGAGAGGGAGGAAGCTCAGCAGATGCATAATGTTGAGGTGTGGTTTAAGAATGCGCTAAATCTACCGAGAGGGTTTCATGTGAATGATATCCATACGCAAGCGAACTATCAACGACACTTACAAAGAGCGAATGTCGTTTTAACAGGTGGCTCTGATATATCTATTGGACCAAGTGGGACAGCTTGCGTCTGGATTGAAGCTAAGAAAACAAAGGAGGATTTCAAGGAAGGTCAAGCTATAGGAGAGTTGTTATTATTAGATAATCTCTACTCTATAAATTCAATGGTTGTCTTGACGGATTGTAACGCCCATTGGATTATTTTCTTCTTCATAAAAGTGGATGATGAACAAAACATGGCAAAATGTAGAATTCATAATCCTGGCATTGCTTTGGCGATAATCAAACAGTTTGTACTTGAAGAAGGGAAAAAGTTTCACAGTTGGATAGGAAAGGTTGTCGATTACAATGTAGCAGACCTACCCCCTCTTCAGAAGAAAACGAAATTTATCGAACACATACCTGGAGCAGATCATGAAGACAGGATGGCAGACATGATTGACGACATGTCTGAACAGGAATTGTTCAATATGACTGCTCGCAAAAGGTTAAGGATGCTAAGAAATTGGTGTATATTAGATGAACAACCACAAGTAGATCAACTTATTAGACAATTTAGCGATGATTATGAAAAACTACCACCGATGAAGTTCGCATAGCACAAATATTTGTTATAAGCATTTATTCTCTGTTTTTGCTTTTGTAATGACCTTCTAGCCTTAATGTTAATTAAAAAAATAATAAAGTTATACTAAATCTCGTGTGATCTGCTTAACAATATATATTTTTTCAAATGTGGAGTAATTTGTTAATTTGTCAATTATATCCTATTTGATTTTCAGTCGAAATATTTAGGATCCTTGGACCGCGAGTATTGCTACAAATAATATAAAAATAAGTTGAGTTTCACTTGTTGGTTCTTTTGTCCTCTTCACGTAAGTGAAACAAAATCGAACGAAAAAAATGATCTAATCAAAAATATCTTACACCATCACTAAACGAGATAAATCCGCAAATAAAATTTCAGGTATGGAAATACGGATTATACTGTACATTAGGACCAGATTCCAGTACTTCATTCGAATGAAGTAAAAAGATATTTTTAGTGCAATTAAGCTGAAAAACATATATCTCAATGCTTATTGTCTACATACTCCCAATAATATCCACCAGCACGAGCTTTACGTCCTTTGCAAACATTACCAATATATGATCCATCAATTCCAGTTATACGTTGTGCTTCAGATACGGATGAAAATTCTTGAGTAGAGCCATTATCGAAAATCTGTTTGACAGCACGTCGACGACAGTTGCCCCAAAGGCCGAGGTGTACAGCATGCTGAGAGTTTTCTTTCGGGGTACACCATTCGAGATTGGATGCACTATTGTTAGTAGAGTCACCATCAATATGATTTACGTATTCTTTACCATCTTCTTTTAGACAAAATGCTAATGCTACCAACCGATGAATACGATATTTATCAACTCTGAGATATCCTGAATGCAATGATCCCGGAGAGATTAAACGTTGCGCAACTGAACTCTTCCGAGAGATGAAACTTTAAATTTTCGCGAATCAACCTCTATTTCTTTCCATTCTTCATTAGGGTCTTGTTCTATATAATCCTCATAATACATCCAACGCCAACCACCAGCAATATTTCGCTTTCTACTACAACATGCCGAAATATGAGGTCTTGAAATTTTAAGTGTATAACCTGCAAGAGCGATGGAATCCCAAATTTGAACGACATTTCCATCCAAAGTTTTCTGATCTATTTTCCTGGACCTGCCACGACCACGGTTCGGAAATACCTTACGTTCAGCGTTTTCTTCAGGAGTTACCCGTTCCAAATTATCTGCTCGATTATCATGTTTGATTCCATTTATGTGATTAACATAGGACTTATTTTCTGGTTTAGAAATGAATGCTTGCGCAACTAAAATATGAACACTAGTATATTTACAAACATCGTTAATATTTATTTTTATTCGTACATAACCACTCCTTTTGCAAGCATTTGGCATTAAAATCAAACCTTTTTTGTTCTTGATGCGTCCGAGATTGGAAACTAGTAAGTTTTCTACAGGTAACCAATATTCAATTATGATTTTATTTATTATAAATCCATTTTTTTAAATTTAGCAAGGCTAGAGTCTTCCCGATGATCGCAATTAATTTCAATACGATCAGCGACTTCCATTGGGATGAGCATGACGAGCCAAATTCTCTCTGTTGCTTGGTTGCTCTTGGTGATTTCGAGGGGGGGGGGGAACTTTGCTTTCCACAGCTTCAGATCGCAATTCCGCTAAGGCCAGGACAACTTGTGGCATTCTCATCGCGTTTCTTGTTACATGGTAATCTTCCAATCACGAGTGGTATTCGTCACAGCATCGTATATTTCGTCCACAGTACGTTCTTCCACCATTTGCGTAATTTTACTGAGATTTACAAAGATCGAAAGGATGGAATTGAGCGAGATGTGAATGGATTGGTTGTTCCTACGATCCCTCAACAAGACCTAAACGATGCGAATGGATTAAATTACCAGGTTAGACTCGACAAACCGAAAGCCAATCAGATTCGAGTTCCGTCATCATCCACCGATTGTAGGAGAGGGCATATAGGTAAGTTTTATTATAATGCCAGTCTTATAATATATAAACGAAAAAATAACCGCTATTTTTTAGATTTGAGGCGAGCACGTCGTGGGCTAAAGGCGGAAGACCCGTTACTCGATCCTGAATAATAGAGCGAACGATATTGCAATATAGATAGTTTTTATTGTTGTTCCGTGGTTATATATTCATGAATTGTATCTGTAGTCTTATATCGAATTATTAATGTAGGCTCAAAGAGCCATTGCTTTGCAGGCCCGAAGGGTCATAAATATATCATGCCTTTAGGCGCCTCTTTGAGGCTTGATTATCATGGGTTAATAAAGATTTTTTTGTAAATACACCAATTAATATGAGATCACGATCCATCAGGGACTTTTTATTGTCACGTTCTACGAACTTCTACGACGATCCCTGATTTGTGGATTTAATTCACGTGATATGATTTTTCGTCGCTTATTTTTACCGAGACGGACAAAAACTGGTTATTTTATTATAATCTGTTTCCCAATAAAAAAAAAATCTATAGTCAATGATTTTATAAATCAATGGCTCACAAATATTATAAACAACTCTTTTATTTTTGAAATTTATTTTAGCACTAGTCCATCCTTAACAGATTAGCTCTTTTATAAGAAGTAGCAACAAGGGTGGGTACCCCAAGAAAAGGATTTTTTTTATTGAGTTTTGTTTAATAGAAAACAGGTAGTATGTTCTAGAGTAGCTACTTTATATAATTATATTGCAAATATATAAATAAAACAAGGCTGAGCCAGTGTAAAAAAAAAAGTTTATATTATTTCTCAAAAATGAATTATATAATCAATAAAAATTAAAACTTAATCTATTATTTGGAATTTTAATCTCAAAAAATATATTATATTATCAAGTAACTAAAATTAAGAAATACAATTATAGTCTTACTTGATTATATAATGTACAGTATGTAACAAAACTTTTTGGAATTCTTTATTTATTCATAACTTAATAAAAATTATCTAAATAATATAAAAATTTAAATATATATT